TAATTTGAAAATAAGTTAATAAATTATTTAACAAAATAAATATTTATAAATATTTGTTATAATAATTTTAAAACAAATTTTATTTTTGTCGGAAATCTGTCGGTAATTCCGCCGGAAATTCCGTCGAAATTAATTCCGTCGGAAAGTCAATCAAAAAATCTGCCGGAAAGTTGTCAAAATTTTTCCTTCAGAAATCCGCCGTAAAAGCATATGTCATCTATTAAAGCATAAAAGACAAAAGAGTGAGGCATGCAATATAAACAATAAAAAAGTAGAATAACAACCTCTAGTTACTATATCAAAGTAGCAAAGACATATGTCATGTTTTCTACAATATTTTTTAGTATGTTAGTGCAATGAGTATATATGTCAAATTATTATTAATGCCAATATATGTTAATTCTTATAAGTGCAGTCATACAAGGTATCATTGTACCCCAAAATGACTTACCAGACATTTATTATTTTCAATTTATGTCAAATTATATATGAATACATTAATTCATCTATAACAATAATCGATTTATTAAATATCCATCATCGAGAAGGTAAACATCAATCCAAGTAAACCTATTGATTTCCTAAAAAGTTGCCACTCTAAGGGCCTATTGGCCCGGCTAGCCAATATCCAATAGGGTTCTACCGACTTATGCACAATCATACAATGTATGTGTTTTTACCAATAAGTTTAAATAGATATTATACAAGTTAACATAGAACTAACAAATTATAAAATCAAAATGGTTTAAATCAACAATATCATTTATTGCAATATTAAAAAAAATTGATATGTACAAATTGGATTCTTTATTGCATGAATTATTTTAAATGATAAGAACTCGTGCATTAATAAATTAAGGCAGCGTTATTTCTACCACATGATATTTTTATTATGAGTAATAAATGAGATTTCTAACATACACAATACTATTAAATAAATATTGAAAATAGAAATGACAACCTAATATCTAAGAACTTTATACAAAATAACAAGAGTATCACTCCTAGCAAGGAAAAATACATTCATAAAAAAAAAAAAAAAAAAAAAACAGTTACTCACATCTATGCAAAAGATCCTAATCTTCAACCAACTAGGTGCTCAAACAGCAAAGCCGCGATGGCAATGACTTGAAGATCTTACAAGAAGCAAAAGTAAATGATTGTAAGCACATAATTTGAGACATTCAAAACTATTATCAATACGCTCTAAGCCTTAAGCAATAATATAAAAAAAAAATAGGCACTATATGAAAGTTACCTTTTTTCCTTGAAAAATCCACCGCAAAATTAGAAAAATTTGTCAAAAATACAATTTGCGGTGGAACATAATTATATGCACAAAGTGGCGTCGCAAAATTATTTACGACGGAAAAAATCCGTTGCAAATATTTCCTGCAGATTTGAGGCAAAATTTCAAAACAAAAAAAGGAGTGGGCTGCCTGCTGGCTACGCCTAACCAGCCTTCCCACGACCGAGCCTGAACGGCTATCCGCTGCCCTCTCCTCTCTGGCTTGACCTTATTAGAATGGCTACCTACTACCCTCTCTTGCCTAACCGGGTGGCCTCGCCTGACCGGCTACCTCACTACAAGAAAATCTCTGCTTACTGGTAGAAGCGACGGTTTAACTGGCAGATATTCTACCGGTAACATCGTGCTAAATTTTCTGGTGGATAGATTGCTGGAAATTTACCGGTGAACAAACCGCCAGGAAAATCATTTATTTTCATAAAGCTAACGGTTACTTCTGGTGAAAAATACATCGAAAATGACTGACAAAACTTTTTGACCATCTTACTTAAACATGGTGAAATATTTCATTGTAATTCCGTCGTAAAGGGTTCCGGCGGAAAAGCCGACAGAGACCGCCCTAATTCCCTTTATGACAAAACTATTCCACCAGAAAAAGGATTCCGACGCATGTTTCACCATTGATTGAAGTTCCGGAAATCCCTCAAAAAATCTGCTTTTCCAACTAAATTTTGTAGATTTCCGACGGATTTGGGCCGCCTTTAACGCACAATTTTCGTGTAGTGCTTGCTGCCCTCTCCTGCTTTACCATATGCCCGCTACCCTAGCCTCTCCATGCCTGACCGATTGCCTGTGTCAGACTGTCTGCCCACAACCCTCTTAGCGCCTCACTGAATTGCTTGCGCCATATCCCACCTGATCGGCCTGCCCAGGATTCGAAGTTGCTCTACTCGTAAACCAACTCCTTTCTCCACTCGGCCGCAGAGACAAAATAAAACAAAAATCTTTTTATTTATTAATCTTATAACTTAGCTTGCAGCAGATTTACTGTTACAATTTCCACGGCAAATTGGCAGCGAAAAAATCCCTTGCAAAAATTTGTCAGCAGTGAAAATTTTGTCACAAATCCCTTACAAGAAATTCGTCAAGAATTTTTATCGCAAAGTTATCATCGTTTTCAATAAAAAATAATCTGCCACAAACTGCTAACTTTCATGTGGTGAGCTAAGCAAAGAAAATCTCGAAAAATAGAATATTTTTCTCAATGCTAACCTCTGATTGACAGAGAAAAGAAAAGAAAATCTCTTGGCTAATCTTCAGTCCAATTAGTGGGAAAAGAGGGAACCTTACCCAATAATAGCGTCAATAGGAGTGAATCAACGCAGAGTGAAGACTGAGGACCTTCTCTGACGATGACAGAAAGAGAAAAAAATCAAAGAGGAAGGGGAAGGGTTTGATGACTGCTGATTGCAAGAGAGAAACGATGAAGAATTACAGGGGAGAGATATGGCGGAACTTTTATTTGGTCCGGTCACCTAGCTACGGACGTCACATGCACGTGTTCTCACTATTTACCGTGCGGCCCGATAACCCGACTTGGAACGGAGCCGGGATTGCTATGTTTGCGTATTGCTAGGTATTACTTGGTATTGCTAGGCATTGGTTGATTTTGCTCTGCAATACAAGAAATACCATTCTGTGAAAACCAATACAGAGAAATAACGAGCAATACCGAGTTTTTCTCGGTATTGGTCTTGACAGAGCTGTATTTCTCGTTATTGTCAAGCAATACCTAGCAATACCGAGCAATACCGAGCAATACGCGAACATAGCAATCCCGGGTCAGGTCGTCGGGCCGCGCGGTAAAGAGTAAGAGCACGTGGCGACATATTATTGATGTCCGAACTTAGAGCTACGTCAGGTCACCTGACCTAATAATTGTTCGATATGTCGGCTACTATAAGAAGGAGAAATAAATTTGGTACCCTAGGCTTTCTATTCAATTTAAATGGTGAGAGGAAGACTCGCTATTAGAAAAATCATGAGAGGCGGTGGGAGAATTGCTTGATTCTTACGATTGGAGAGAGAGAGTGTGTGTGAGAGAGAGAGAAAGAGAGATGACAATCTTGCAGTGATTTTTTACGGCAGTTTTAACCACAACTAAGGCTTTGTTTGGGACAGTTGTCTTATCGCTTCTTAAAGCAGCTTTTTAGAATAATATTAAAAATTTTATACTAGAAAACTGTTTTAAGAAACTGTAAGAACGCCATCCCAAACGAAGCCTAAGACTAAAATTAATTACCACAAAAACCTTTTTTTTTTTCTTGTAGCTATTCCAGCTTCAGAAATCATACTCATCGTCATTTTATTCAGAGAACTGAAAGATTTGTTAATCATGGCGATATTTATAAATACAAAAAGTTGCACTTCTCAAGAGGTGATTTAACTCAAAGGATTAGCAAACATAAATAAAGAGATAAGAATACAACTACAACCATTTTAACTTTTTTTATTAAATAATTACATAGTTCAAAACTAAAAATTAGTGTAATATAAAATAGAAGATGGTTTTTATTTAGTCATGACTCTGTACTAAGTGCTTTCATTTTGAATGCAATGGCCAATAATAATGCAAATTAAAATTATAATATAAGATAAACTAGCATACAAATTTTCTAAGCGATGAAGTGTGAATAAATTAAATTTAAAATGTGAAAAAAATAATGTTATCATGAATTAACACAAAGTTAGTTATAGAAGAAAAAATAAAGTGCGGACAAAATAAAGTTATTAGATTCTACATATTTAGGCTTGGTTTGGGACGATTTTTCGTGTTTGAAAATATTCTAAAGTTTAGCTCTAAGTTCACCAGTAGTACTCAACTGATTGACTCAAGCTTAATTTGGGCTAGCAATATGGAGCTAAGGCAATGTTATAATAGGCTTAATTTGTTTTGTAGCCCAATAGGTTAATGGGTTAGTTAATTGAATCTAATTGAGCTTAGTTCAAAGCTTTTTCCTTGGGCTAACCCAATCAGGTTGGGCTGGTCATGGTCAATTTCTAGGGGTCTTAAGCTTTAGTACTAAACTAATAGTCAAGCTCAAATTAATGAGCTCTTCTCAATGGCTCAATGGGAGCTTAAATGTTCAACCAAAGTTGACCAAGCTCATATGGGCTATAATTGACCCTAACAAGCTAGGGAAGTAGGTCCCTTTGCTAGGTGGAGTCACATAGAACTCTATGTTCATATCTAATAAGCTCATAGGTCGAGCATATTTGACCTCCAGGGGATTCAGGCTAGGTTTGATCCATAAAAGATTAAGCAAATGTCACCTCTTTAATTTCATCATATTTTTCAAAACTTAAAAATAAGCTCTTAGTTTTGGATGAGCTAGAGCTGGGATCTTCGGATTTGGGCTATATGGCAATTCATTTTAGGAGGGGCAATCGAGGAGAGGTAGCTCTGTTCTGACGCCAAATTTGATAAATTTTTTTCCCAACGATGGCCTTAACAATCTGAACAAGTTCATGTAAGGAATTCTATATTATTTTAATAACAGTCGGTTCATTGGATCTTCTTCCAGCATCACAATCGAGGTCTCTCGCTGCGCTCTCCCCGGCGAAGCATCTCCGTTGCTCTCTTGTTAATCTAGGATCCCTACAGTTGCAGTCCAATCATGAAACCTTCTTCAATCTATTTTATGCACTCCCTTCGGGTTGTAATCCTCACCAAGCTCCCCCCTGCTCCCTAATGGCGAAAAGCACTTACGATATTATTCTTCCCATTCTCCTCCTGTGCTTCCTACACCAGACACATATGACCCTGTCGCTTCCCCTGCTCCCCATAACCTCCACGAACCAAACCAGAGTCTATATCGTCCACGTCCAGCACCCCAATGGCCCCACTGAACTCCTCCCCCACATCGACCGTGAAAGCTGGTACCATTCTTTCCTCCCTAACGCCACCCTCGACTCCGGCGAGCCCCGCATGGTCTACACGTATTCCGTCGCCATGTCAGGCTTCGCCGCCCGCCTCACTCCAGACGAAGTCAGGTTCATGGAGTCCATCCCCGGCTTCCTTTACGCCTACATCGACAAACCCCTCCACCTACACACCACCCACACACCGACCCTCCTCGGCCTCGACCAATACAACAGCCTCTGGCAACAATCCGACAGAGGCGAAGGCGTTATCATCGGCGTCCTCGACAGCGGCATCACTCCCGACCACCCCTCCTTTATCGCCGTCCCTGACCTGCCCGCCCCTCCCCGAAAGTGGCACGGCAGTTGCAACCTGCCCGCCGGCTTCTCCTGCACCAACAAACTCATCGGCGCCGAGGTCTTTCTCGGCGGAGTCAAGAAAACCCCCATCGACGAAACCGGCCATGGGACCCATGTCGCGGGCATCGCCGCCGGCACGCCTGTCCAAGATGCCAGCGTCCTTGGCCAAGCCCGCGGCACCGCCTCCGGCATGGCTCCAAGGGCCCACATAGCCTCCTATAGGGTCTGCACCCCATTCTCCTGCAGTGACAGCAACATACTCAAGGGCTTCGACCAGGCCATCCAGGACGGCGTCGACTTGATCCAGATATCCATTGGCGGCGTCAAAGATGTTTATTACAGAAATGGCATCGTCAAGGGATCCTTCGCAGCACTGACAAAAGGCATCCTGACCGTCAACTCCGCAGGCAATGACGGCCCCGCAAAAAGCACCGTCAACAACGACGTGCCCTGGATCCTCCAAGTGGGCGCCGCTAACATAGACCGCCGTGTCACGGCAGTGCTGAGGCTCGACAATGGCATGGAGTTCTTCGGCATGTCGGCTTACCAGCCGGACCCTTCGACAGCGGTGGACCTCCCGCTTGTATATCCAGGAGTGAAAGACACCGATGCGACATTGGCGTGCGAGAGAGGATCGATGGCGGGCTTTGATGTGGTTGGGAAAATGGTGTTGTGCGGGGTCGGGCATAATGACAATATCGAGAAGGCCAAGATCGTGAAGGCCGCCGGCGGTGCTGGCATTATCGTCATGAACCAGCGTCAGGATGCGTATACTATAAATGCAGATCCTTATGTTATTCCCGCCATCCACGTCTCCTACAATGACGCCATTAAAATCTTGAATTATCTAAACACCAGCCAAAATGCCACTGGAACGATAACGTTTAAGGGTACCGAGTACGGAATACGACCATCACCGGCCGTCGCCAGCTTCTCCTCGAGGGGGCCGAGTCTACTAAACGGTGGCATTTTGAAGCCTGATGTCATCGCACCCGGAGTGAACATACTTTCAGCGTGGCCTTTCGAGGTTGGGAAGGGCTGGGCTTACGATGTATCCAAAACCATGAAAAACTTTACCTTCGAGAAAGGCACATCCATGGCGGCACCGCATGTATCTGGTGTCGCAGCTCTGTTGAAAGACTTATACCAAGATTGGTCACCTGCAGCAATCAAGTCAGCGATCATGACTACAACTTATATCGTAGACCGCAACGGAGGGCCAATTATCGATGATGCATCAAACACACGTGATCGCGCTGACATCTTTGCGGTTGGTGCGGGACACATAAACCCAACCGCGGCTAGTGATCCAGGACTTGTTTATGATGTCACAAACCCGGATGACTATATTCCTTACCTGTGTAGCTTGAAGGGGTACATAACCGGGTATGTGGAACTTATTGTGAAAAAATATGTGAACTGCAAAGGGAAAGAGATGGGTGCAGAGCAGGTGAACTACCCTTCGATTCAGGTGTCGATGGGGTCGGTTGGAGCGGAAAAAAAGAGAGTGAAGCGAACGGTGAAGAATGTTGGGGAGGCGAGCTCCATCTACAAAGCAAGTGTGGTGGAGCCGAGAGGGGTGAAGGTGGTGGTTACACCGGAGACGCTCCAGTTTTCGAACGTCGGCGAGGAGAAAAACTTCACGGTGGAGTTGAGTTTGACGGGGAAAGGCCAGTTAGAGAGGGATGATGTGTTGGAAGGCAGGCTCAATTGGGTATCGGGCAAACGGGTGGTGAGCAGCCCCATTGTCGTCACTGCATGATTTTATTATTATGTTGTACGTACTGATGAAAGGATTGTATGTTTGTATCGTCTGACAACAAGCACCTAGCTTCGAACGTCGGCGAGGAGAAAAACTTCACGGTGGAGTTGAGTTTGACGGGGAAAGGCCAGTTAGAGAGGGATGATGTGTTGGAAGGCAGGCTCAATTGGGTATCGGGCAAACGGGTGGTGAGCAGCCCCATTGTCGTCACTGCATGATTTTATTATTATGTTGTATGTACTGATGAAAGGATCGTATGTTTGTATCGTCTGACAACATGCACCTAGCCTGGAATAATGTTGACTTTCATGGAATAATATTGACTTTTTTAAATTTATATGACATAGTGAATAATTATCAAGATGAGTACTTTTTTATGCTTTTATTTGAAAAACAAAGATCATGATACAAATTTGCAACCAAATAAGTTCATCAACATATATATATATATATATATATTGCATGATGATATGAATATTCCTTTTTAATTGTGTTTTTATTAAAAACTCATTTATAGGAAGCATGTGTTACTTAATGAATCTATTGTGATGTGAATTTACAACAGGATGTATGTATTGATATATTATACCAAAAACTAGAATATAGGAGAAACAATTCTAACACCTGTAAAGTGGTTTCAAGTGGGATGAGAGCTCTTCAGCCGGTTGTAAGATGGAATGTGGCTTCAGGTTCTTCTATAAACATTTTAAAGGATGTATGGATCTTATATAAAGGCTTGGTTAGATGGCCAACCTTTATAGCTGTGTTGCATGAGGATTTCCCTGTCTCTTGAGATGTTCATTGATGATGGAGGTTGAAACCATGCTGAGTTACAGAAATGGTTTGGCACTAGTTTAATTAAGGTTATAACTCAGTTAAAAATTTACCCAAAAAAATTTCAAGATAAATAATTGGAGCTAATTTACCAAATTTTCAGGTAAATCGATTGCTTCCTTAGTTACTAGAACATGGTTGGTGAATTTGGAGAGGGTAGATTATGGGAGATGGATGAAAAAACTGTACTTATCTCCAAAGGTGGATTGTTTTTGGTGGCGGGTATTTAAGAATGCAATTCCTACAAATGATTTCTTACTATATAGAAGATTTGCGGATTACAATTCTTGCCCAAAGAGGTTGCAAGGCAGTTGAAAATTTATATCACGCTGTGGCTAACTGCTCCTATAGTGTTGCTGACCATGTGGGGTTTTCTAGTTCCGACTTTCTCATCATTTGTGGAGTGTAAGAGTAGATTGGAGGAGCTGTTAGAAGGTAATCAATTTATAGGAAACCTATATTCTCTCTGGTTTTTCTTTTGTGGGGAAGCAGGAACTTTATAAAGCATGGAGATAAGGAGCTTGGTTTGGGTTTCATTGCATCATAGGCTATTAGTATTGCTTCCAATGCATTAAATTTTAATATATTTTCGGATCACTGGGGTGTTAACCAGCACAAGCTGCCTTTTATTTCCTGACACCCTCCTCCTCCCGAATGGATTAAAGTAAATATTAATTGATGCAGCTCTTTTACAATCTCATGAAGCTGGCATTGGCTGCGTTTTTAGGGATCATAAGGGAAGGTTCTTAGCTGCTTTTGGCTACAAATGTACTCATTAGGATATCAGGTATTTGGAATTGTTAGCTTTTCGATCCTTGAAGGAGGTCATTAAAGATTGGATGATGGAAGCTAAATTTATTATGATTGAGGGAGATAATTACAATGTCATGAAGCATTTACAAGGCTCGGTTGGCAAAACTTCTTCGGAGATAAATAAGGAAGAAGTGGAGGATTTGTCTTTTCTAAAAGATTTTAGTTTTTTTTTTTTTTTCATTTTACTTATAGGAATTGTAATAAGTTAGCTGATTGTTGTGCTAACTTGGATTTAGAAGGTGATTTTTTTTTTTTTTTTGGATGGGCTTGATTGTAATAAGGTTCCTCCTATTTTCCTTGATTTTTTAAAGGAGGATTGTGATAACTATTTTATCACTTAGTAGTTTGTATTACGCTTTTCATTTCAATTTCAATGATATTTGCATTTCTTCAACAAAAAAAAAAAAAAAAAAATCTTCAAAAAAAAAAAAAAAAAAACTCTAGCTCATCCAAGAGTCACAGCTCTCCTCCTCTTGTCAAGGATAAATTATTACTTGTGGTAACCGAATATCGTTCGAAGGTCAATTAAGACGCGTGCATGCACGCACCACATCACCAAAACGTTGTGGATCGTTACTGTGTATCGATGTGTATTAATTGATGTGGCGCATTCTGATTGGCCTTTGGATGGTTCGATGACCACACATAATAATCTTTCCTTGTTGAGACCAATGACAATAGGTGATGTGAGAAGGGCAATGAAAGTGGCCGCAAACTACAACGTGCATGTAAAGGGTAATAGACAATTGAAGTTACGGATGATAACAAAAGATATGTTTTTTGTCAATGCTATTTATGTAAATAGGAAAGATTCGATGTTAAATATATAAATTAGAAAATTTTAAGTATCAAATATGTAAATCTCCCTACATCCAAATAAGCAACACATTTATTTCCAGTATAAAATAAAATGGCATCTTCAGAACAAATAAAAACTATATATGATACATTTTGTATTTTATATTCTTAATATATGTCTTCAATTCAAGAAAGTCTTTGTAAAAATTCTTATAATATTGCATAACCTTTAAGCTAATGAGCTATGGAGATAAAGCGTCTATGGAAGCATTTCTATAAAGGATTTTATTTCAGATTGGGTTCGCTAGCATAAAAGGAAAGTTTTAACATGTATTATAGACTAATTATTTAGAATGTACACTGATATTTCTTTATCTTCATCTATACACATTTTTTTAGTTAGTAAAATAATGATTTATATCTTACTAAAAATTACTATTTTGATTGATAGAGGATAATTTTGCTTTGCCTCACAAGTTAGAAAATTTATCTATAAAATAAAATAATATGGGTGCTTTATAAATGTTATGGAGGGTGAGAGAATATGTTAAAATATTGTAGCATATTTGCAATGGTCGTTGCTAGGTCTCAATTCCTAAATGAGAAAAGGAAAGGGTTGCGTTAAATAGTCGACAACCAACATAAAATTTGTCAAATAATAATGAAATGTATCCCTTAGTTTTAGAAAAGAAATGGATTAATAATATTGCTTATATTCAAGTCAATAAGGATGTGTATGCAAGAGCTGTCATTTGTGTTCAAACACAAGATGATTTGACCAAATATTTGCATATTTTAGCTGTATTACATCAAGGATCAGCCTTAAGCCCATATATTTTTGCTTTAGTCATGAATGTTCTTACTAAACATTTGCAAGAGGATATACCCTGGTGTATGGTTTTTGCTGATGACATTTTCCTTGCACATAAGTCTAGAAAGGGAGTTGAGATAAACTTAAATTATGGAGGTCAACCTTATAGTCTAAAAGTTTTAGTTTGAGTAAATATAAAACCAAATAAATTGAGTATAATTTTAGTAGTAATAGATCTAATGGGGGGACTATGACTTTGGGTGATCAAGCCATTAATAAGAGTACATGTTTTATATATCCTAGGTCTATTGTTCAAAGTAATGATGAAATAGATGATAATATTACTAGTAGAATTCAAGTTGGATGGTTGAAGTTGAGGAATGCATCTAACTTATTGTGTGATAGAAAAATACCCCTCAAACTTAAGGGAAAATTCTATAAAACAGTGGTGAGACTTGCAATGCTTTATGGTGTTGAATGTTGGCCATTAAAAGAGAAGCATAAAATAAAGTTAAGTGTTGCATAAATGAGGATGCTCAAGTGGATGAGTTGTTATACTCTTAGCGAGGGGATACAAATTAAATGAGCATATATATATATATATATATATATATATATATATATATA